CCATACCACCCTCCTGAATTCCTGAATCAGCCATGCCCTGAGAGACCCCCACCAGAATTAATCGATGATGAAGAAGAGTACGAAATTGAACAGATCGTTGGAGAAAGAAACCGTACCGTCGGCCGTGGACGAACCCGTCGCACTATAACCGAATACTTGGTCAAGTGGAAGGGTTACCCGATAGAAGAAAACTCCTGGGTTAAGCGTTCCGACATGGCCAATGCCGAAGAGCTCGTCAACGATTACGAAGCTCGGATTCAGAAAGTCGTCTGGACGGTAAATGACGAGGGAAAGACAGTCGGTATCGATGACAAGATACCTCGCAATCTACCGGTCGAGTATCATGACCCCGACACCCCTTGCATTACCGATATCATCATGGTTCCATCATCGCAATGCTCTGCCATCGCACACTCGGAAGAAATCGATCAAATCATCGACACACTTCCTACTCCCTCGGAAGCGGAGGAGTACTGGCGACAGACTTTCAAACCGGAACGGGAGGCGGCCTTCTTTGAAGGAAAATGGCCTAAAGTCACCACCGACGAGGCGGACGGTGTACCAGTTGTTAACGAAGAAGACGATACCGAGGAAGAGGTAGACCTACAAAACCTCGAACGTATACAGGAAAATTGGGATACGGAGGCTGATGACGATGAAGACGCCGATGACGACACCTGGTCCTTCTACTCACAGTCCCAGGAGTCGACATCGAGCGATGGGATTGACCCAAGCAGCTCATCCCAGACACAGGAATCCTAAATCGCGCGAAAACGCTTATGGTGTAGAAGAGGATTTCCACCGCTCAACCACGAGCATTGAACCCTTAGGGATCGCGGATCCCGACAGACAGTTGAGGCCTAACCGGCGCAAGGTGGCTCAGATTCTCTAACGGATGTCTGAGTCCAGGGGGAGAGCGGGTCAGAAGCCGAACACAACGAGTGGCTCTTCATGGTGTAGCGGAGGCCCAATCAATCCTGTTTTAAAGCAGAAGGGAGACCCTCATACTCGCTCATGTGGAAGGAAGGAGAAACGGAGGCTCAGTGTCTCATCGGGACGAATGAGTCTTAGGGAGGGGGTAATGTTACGAATATTCTTTTCTTTTTCTTTTTCTTTTCTTTTCTTTTCTTTTCCTTGCTCATGCAAGCACGATTACCCACATGCGATCACAACGGATGCCTTCCCACAGTACTATTTTTAGTTACGCACCGTGTATTTAAGTAGAGCCTCAGCTGGTCTAAACCCCAGCTTCGGCTAAGGTTTAATCTACCTAACCTCGAACTCCGTTCTTCGTGACTACTTGTCCCATCGACTTTCATCGCCTTTGACTTGCTAGTGTATCGTCTACCGAAGTGCGAGTAGCGATCCTAGTACGATCTAAGTCGATAGAGTTAGTGGCTAACATATCTGCAGTTTCCCATGTATTTTGTAGCACTGAATCAACGAGCAATGTGTTTTTTCCCCACTTTTATTGTGATATTTTTGGAGACAAAAAAGCAACCAATCGTCTCGAGCTTAGTGCGAGGGCACCCAAAGTTTAGCCAAGGTTAGGCTCCCCACGTGTTGGGGAGCCCGAATGCGATTGCATCGTGTATGATCGCTAGGGAGGGTTACAAACCAAGTAGCTACGCATAATACTAGCTAATGTGTCCGCACAAGTATACAACAGAAAGAGATACAAACATACAAGGGTGGGTAGCGAGCAACTACGTCTATGAAACTGTAAGTATACGAGGCAATACAAGGATAATGAGTGGCTTACCTGGCGAGACTGTGAGGATACGTGGCAGAGAGAGGATGGCCCCTCTTCTGCTCACAGTCTGCCAGGTAACAACCGATCTACGGGATCGGGTTGCGTTCCGTCTTCTTACGACCTAGGAGGTGAAGGCGGGTGAGTACGCAGTCGCCACGGTGACTGGCGCAAGCTCACCTTACTCATACAGGATCTTCTTGCGACCTTAGAGGTGAAGAGAGCACGGCTTCGCTTGCGACCTGTGTCAGGTGGAAGGTAAGGAGCAATGACGCATGGTGCAGAAAGCAAGACTCACAAGAATTGTTCTCTCGCTTGCAACCTCGCTGACGTGAGGTGGAGAGAAGTGTATCCCACTTACGGCCTGTGAGGCGGAGATACGTGAGCTGCGGGATCTATCTCCGTAGTGCAGGGCACTCACTCGACGATTAACCTTGTATAAACCCCTTTAAACTCGAAAACAAAAACAAAAACAAAAAGCCTGTGCCTGCAGCGCGAGCCGGCCATTTTTCGAGGATGATGTAATTTATTTTTCGTAGTCCCGACAAATCTGAACAATTTTGGGATGGACAGGGCAAATATCCAAGCATGTAATCTAATACAGCCTGAATTGGGGGCCTTTGGCAGCAATTCATGCCAATTTTGAGCTGTGGATAATATCCACCAGACAGACCAAACCCCACAGCATAAGGTGGGATATTCAATGACTTCCATAGACCTGTGGTGGTACACGGTTGACACCAAAGTTCTCTGGTTTATGCGGATATCATGCTCTACTTTGAACGGCGTGACATCAGATGAAAATGAATCGGGTGCGTGGGACCCAGTACTTGAGCTTGGCGGTTTTGTGTCAACCGGATTGAGGAGCTCAGAGACGGATAGAACAGGCATGGTAGAGTGTGGAGACGATACTCAGACAGCACGATACTCAGGACAGAGTGATTACTATTATTGGGGCAAAAAACTGTAAAACAGTACAAAGTCAAGTTTGAAGCGACGAGAACAGCTCGAGATTCATGCAGTATTTCTGGTTGTATGTAAGGAGTGATTGAGGTGGAAGGCGAAACGTTTTGGGGAGAGTACAGGAGAATTCTCCAGCCTTCGACCATAAGTCGTCGAGCCTATTTAGTTTGTAGTCGGTGCTGGTAGTTAGGCCAGGAGTAACAACACGAGAAAGTACCGATGAAATATCCAGCCTTTGCCAATAGCGAGTCGGTGAGCCAAACTGAAGAGCTTATTTCAGTTTTCACTCCAGGTGGCGTTATTAGGTCCCTGAGGAGTGACACGGACATGTAACCAAGGCTGACTCCATGGAAAGCCAAATTAAAGTACCCTGATTAACCTATTTCACATCGGTGAACAAGTCGCTTGGCGAGATTGCTGCTAGCCGAATTTCGGATACCTGAATCTAAAAGACTGAAACATAGAAGCTTTGTATTATCCTATTCTGGTTGCATTGATATGTTCCCATATGATTACGACAATTCGAGAGAGAAGCATAGAGCAAAAAAAAACTGAAAAAAACTGATATTGCAGACTTCGACGGCGACATGTCGCAGCGAACAAACAATACACAAGTGAGGGAAAATGATCGAAGGAAAGATAAACAAAGAGAAACGACACAGCAATTTTGAAACGCAGTAGCCGTAAAGTGGCATTGTAACACCATAACACCAACGAGGATGCTTGGGCACAACTGTCTCATCATTGTCGCTGTCGGTCGTTGCTTGTGTCGAAGGGCTGAAGGATGGAAGGAATAGGGGACGGGGGACTGGGGATGGGGGCGACAGCAATGGCAATGGTGGTGGTCAAAATGAGAGAGACCGAGGGACTGACAAACCAGTGACAGCGAAATTCACGACTTCCCTGTCCGATTTCGTAAAAGTGTAATCTTAAAAAGACAAATGCCAAAATCTAAAACATTTTGATTGCTATGCCGTACATACTTGGCAGTATACACATGTCCCGAATACGCCCTCCCGTCCCAAAATGGTACGCGCATGCCATCACCGACGCAGTCACGGCGAGGTCACGCTCACGTTGGTGTGAGCTCGTTGCCGAACCTTGCCGAGGTGAGTACGTGCCGTCCTCTGCCGAGGTCACGTAACGTACGGTACCGTATGTCTATTATTAGTACAGGCACTTACTAGTACTTTACCTACTACACCCAGATCACTGCAATGTACGTACATCGCATCTATGCTATGCCACATTCATGCAGGCTTCGTCCTAGGAATCAACTAGCGAGCCACTACTTATTCATATCAGCCACATTTGCTCATCGTAGATATGTTTCATATGTGTGCTGTTAACAGAGCCCTAATCGAACTGAACGGGACATCAGGGCTCCAATTGTCTGGGCTTGACTTCCTGCCTGATATGAATACAGTACTGTGTCCTGGTGATGAAACCTACGACAGCTTGAGCCGGCATTCGTACTCGCCCTAACGAAACTCCCGGACTGTCGCCACATCTTTCTCATTCAAGAAGGGGCCCCTCACTGCGCTTCACGCCCCACTATGAATGTCCTGGCCTCGAGGAGTTTGAACTTTCCATGCGTAAGTCGTCCATTATCCTGGACATACTATTGTGTCGAGTTGACTGAGTTCCACAGTTCACAACATCCAGTTTCACAGATGTCGATATCTATTCAAACTCAGAGGATCTTGGATGCCATTTCGCCCGTCTGCAGTGTACCCCAAACATTGTGAAGCAGATAGACGATGCGGTGTTTGGTATCTGGGCGGCCGCATATAAAGAGTTGCTTGATCCACCAACCTTTGTGTCCATGGCAAGACAGATAATTGAGTGAGGTCACTCTATTTGAAAGTTATCTCCCGCTGACTACCTCGCACCCAAGCGTTAGAGAAGCAATCGAAGAAGCAAATATGGCATTTATGAATGAACACGTCACGACGCGTAAACGGTTGACTAGGAGGAGATTCCGATTTTCTGGTCGGCCAAAACCAAAGGAACAAAGTATTTCCTCCAAGCTCATGATCTTGAATGAAGTAATAACGAAATTGGCGGTATGTGGATTTCGACTCAGAAATAATCAAAAATAGAACTCATGTGTTATGCTAGATCGTCTTTGAAACTGCAGCGTTATTGGAATGTATACCCCACTTGGATTATATGGAGCTACCTTAAACCGCTTCGAGCATGCCCTGTAGAGACGAAGTCACGTATTATGAACTTGCACGAAGACATACCGATAGTACTACTCAGATGTCCAAAATTCCGGGGAAGAAAAGGCATAAGTATGAATGTTGAGACGAAAGTGTACAGATACAAATTCTGATCTTGAAACTCACAGAAAGGGATGAGTACATAGAACTTAGCTTGTTGAGCTAATTGAGCTTGGAAAAGAAGTCAACGGTGATAGTCCAAAGTTGTTCAGCAAGATCGTCATCCCGTGCCACTTTGCTCGGATTGGCGATGTGTGGGGGTTTGTCCTCAAGATAGGCACCTTTGTAATTGTCCCGATTGTCTTTGACGTCCTTTCCCGCGGCTGCAAAGAAAGAGGTATACGAGCCACGGTCTATACTGGTTACGACTGGCACAACCAGCAATTTCCACAGAGGAGCAAGGGGCCACTTGTGAGTAAAGGTGTCGACACTACCAGGGTGAAGTGAGATGACAGTTATAGGTACCGGCGGCTCCGAGATGTCAAGTTGACTTTGAAGAGACTTGGTCCAAAGAATGACCAGCAATTTAGAGTGGGCTGGTTGGAGAGATAAGCTTGACACGCGAGTGCATGATCAATGCGGACACACCGTACCGCCAGAAGCTCGAGAACCACTTCTTGTCATATGATACATTCAAGTCCTGAATCGCGTCGCATTTAAATCCCGAAAGAGCCCATTTATGGGATATGGAAGCGACCTAGGAAGTTTCTTTGTCAGTTGAATAAAGCATCGAGCAAGATTCGCTTGCATTGATAATTCGGACGTCGGAGTTCGGCTCCCGGGAAGTCGAGATGAGAAGAGGCAGCAGCGTTTGCGTGAAGACGAAGGGACTAAGATAACTGAACAGAATTTCAAACATGTCTCAACACATCGAGGAGGAATCGTAAGACTAACTTGACGATGACAAGGTTTGACATGCCTATCTAAGAGATAAGCAAGAATTTGCAGCCTGAGATTACTTTGTGACGCACCATCCGGCCCAGCCTCATATGGTCCTAACATCCTGTCATGAGCTGTTAGTTGTATCAGGGTGATCCAGGGTTTTCACGCCTACATGCCGGCATTATTCACTGTTGTGGACGTCAGGATTGAGGGGGTCAAGGAAAAGAGTAGAAAAAGAAAGTTCACCCAGCACGTCCAAACGTTTTTCCTTCCTCATGAACTCTTCAGCAGATTGTCTTGCAAGTCGAGGGTCACTGAGGTCGAGCTTCAACCATACGACATCCCCGTTTCCCGGTTCAAGAGATTCGGTCTTGAGCTTTTCTATAGCCTCCGCTGCCCGTGTCTC